GCTATCTGCAATGACTCTGCCTAAGCTGTGAAGTACAGCTAAGTGTGTGAGAGTCATGGCTGCAGGTTCATGGCACCAAGAGGGAAATGATGTCATGCAGCTGCAGCATCCCACCAGGAAACCTGGCGCCACGCTGGCCTTCAGGATGCAAAGGACCACAGTTGGACCTGCTGGTGCTCCACCATCCTGGTTTGGTAATGAGTTGATGAAAAGTCTGATGGTTCATCTTCATCTGCAACTCAAAAGCTTCCATATCCTCATCGGCCATCGATCGTCCTGGTTCCCATCGCGATGTACACTAGACGCATGTGTGATGTTGAGCTGGATCTCTGTGTTTCTGCCACCAGGAGGCTGAGTACAGTCAAGGCTACGGCCAGCAGGGGGCGCCACCTCCTTCTCCAATCAGATGTGAGGCAACAGCAGGTGAGTCCAGGCGACGCTTTCTGGGTGAAGGCTGGATGTTCACCGGACGTCATCATCTGATGTTGGTGTTTCTTTCACAGGAAGTGCCGGAGTGAACCAGCAGTGGGTCGCCTGCAACCTACCCACAATGCAACACTCCAGCCTGCCTGCAACATTACTGGGCGGGGTTGGGATAAATGTTCACTGCTGTGAATCAGTGTGTAAATGATGAAAACAGAATCTAAATGAGAAACCCGAAACTAGACCAAGCAGTGCTGAGTAGAACCCAGAGGTTCTGTTGATCTTCATGTTCGGGTCTGTATCTGTGGACAGAATGTATGTTGTGTTGTATAGATATCACTATGAACAGATATATAATCTCAACCCTTTCTTCTCACTTCCTATTGGACCCTGGGATTTCTTGTTGCAATAAGCCCCGCCCCCAAAAACCAGATTGCAAATCAATGCTGTTCAGACTGGGTTCAACGATCCGGTTCAGATCAGAACCAAACCAAGGTCCGGATAGAAAACGATGAGCGCCTGCCAGCATCGTCTCCCAGCTCTTTGTTTTGCTGCATGTAAATACCCACACAGGAAGTGATGTCAGTCTGGACTTGTAGCAAACGCAGCCTGGACGCTGGCATGGTTTCCATGGAAACTAGATCCAAAATGGCTTCCTGTTACTGGGAGTCCAATTAACAAGCTGTGTGCAGCTATCAATTACATTGCTGCTGAAGAAATGTCTGAAGACCCAATCGTCCATCTGAGGGTCCAAATGTCCTTCTGAGGACCAAATGTCCTTCTGATGCCCAAATGTCCATCTGATGACCAAATGTCCTTCTGAGGACCAAATGTCCATCTGATGACCAAATGTCCTTCTGAGGACCAAATGTCCATCTCAGGACCAAATGTCCTTCTGAGGACCAAATGTCCATCTCAGGACCAAATGTCCTTCTGATGCCCAAATGTCCATCAGGACCAAATGTCCTTCTGAGGACCAAATGTCCATCTGATGACCAAATGTCCTTCTGAGGACCAAATGTCCTTCTGAGGACCAAATGTCCATCTGATGACCAAATGTCCTTCTGATGCCCAAATGTCCATCTGATGACCAAATGTCCTTCTGAGGACCAAATGTCCATCTCAGGACCAAATGTCCTTCTGAGGACCAAATGTCCATCTGAAGCCCAAATGTCCTTCTGAGGACCAAATGTCCTTCTGAGGACCAAATGTCCATCTGAAGCCCAAATGTCCTTGAGGACCAAATGTCCTTCTGAGGACCAAATGTCCTTCTGAGGACCAAATGTCCATCTGAGGACCAAATGTCCTTCTGATGCCCAAATGTCCATCTGAGGACCAAATGTCCATCTGAGGACCAAATGTCCTTCTGAGGACCAAATGTCCTTCTGAGGACCAAATGTCCATCTGAAGCCCAAATGTCCATCTGAGGACCAAATGTCCTTCTGAGGACCAAATGTCCATCTGAGGACCAAATGTCCTTCTGATGCCCAAATGTCCATCTGAGGACCAAATGTCCATCTGAGGACCAAATGTCCTTCTGAAGCCCAAATGTCCTTCTGAGGACCAAATGTCCATCTGATGCCCAAATGTCCATCTGATGACCAAATGTCCTTCTGATGCCCAAATGTCCATCTGATGCCCAAATGTCCTTCTGAGGACCAAATGTCCTTCTGAGGACCAAATGTCCATCTCAGGACCAAATGTCTTCTGATGCCCAAATGTCCATCTGAGGACCAAATGTCCATCTGAGGACCAAATGTCCATCTGAAGCCCAAATGTCCTTCTGAGGACCAAATGTCCTTCTGATGCCCAAATGTCCTTCTGATGCCAAATGTCCTTCTGAGGACCAAATGTCCTTCTGAGGACCAAATGTCCATCTGAGGACCAAATGTCCATCTGAAGCCCAAATGTCCTTCTGAGGACCAAATGTCCATCTGAGGACCAAATGTCCATCTGAAGCCCAAATGTCCTTCTGATGCCCAAATGTCCTTCTGAGGACCAAATGTCCATCTGAGGACCAAATGTCCTTCTGATGCCCAATGTCCATCTGAAGCCCAAATGTCCATCTGAGGACCCAGAACTTTCAGAACTGGCCTGAAGGTCGTGCAGTTTAATCTGCTGATGATTCTCGGTGAACGTTGCTTGAGAAGCTCTGGTCTGTTGTTGCTTGGAGACCCCCAGAAAGAGAGGGAATCACCATGGCAACCAGTGATGATTGCCACTCAGCAGTTTCTCATGTGGGACGAATTCGTCGCCAGGTAGCCATGTTGGACTTCCAGGCAGCTGCTGCGTTTGTATGAATTTCCCCGCCCAGTGTTGAGGTGAGACCTTCTGAAAGATGAAGACCTCCAGACGTGCAGCGTCTCCTGCTCTCAGCCAATCACAGCTCTCTGATGCTTCCTCCTCCCTCCTCCTCCTTTTCCTCCACCTCCTCCTCCTCCTTTTCCTCCACCTCCTCCTCCACCTCCTCCTTTTCCTCCACCTCCTCCTGCACCTCCTCCTCCTTTTCCTCCACCTCCTCCTCCTCATCCTCCTCGTCCACCTCCTCCTCCTCCTCCTTTTCCTCCGTCCTCCTCCTCCTCCTCCTCCTTTTCCTCCTCCTCTCCACTTCTTCTTCTTGGGTTGTTTTTGAACTGTTGTTTAGCGTCGGTATCCTCCTCCGCATGGTGACGTGTTTTCTTTTGTGTTGTTCAGTACCTGAAGATCAGTGTGATTCTACTTCCTGTTTCCTGTTGAGGTGTGTGTGAGATCATTTCCTGTCAGTGCTTCATCAGATGTTTTCCTCTCTTCCTCACCTTCTGTGCATCATTTTATCTATTCTTCTTTTCCCTTTGCTCTTCATCTTCCTCCTCTTCCTCAGTTGTTCGTCCTCATGGCTTCTCCTCTTGGGCTCTGTGATGTAACTTCCTGTGAGATGAAGTACTGCCCAGCATCAGTAACCATGGCGATGGTATTGACAGTGATGTGTTTGTGACTTGTTGCCATGGAGACCCCTCCTCCCTGTTTCTTCAGTGAAAAGTTTCAATAAATGATAATTGCTGAAGGTCTGAGTGTATTTTATTAACCGAACAGATGAATGAACAAAGAGAGACGAACCGGAACCGGAACCGGAACGGATCCAAGGTGACTGGGTCATTACAGGCAGACAAAGTTTCAATGTGTCCACTGGGTGGCGCTGCTTTCTCCACATGCAGGTTCACCGCCAGTCAATCTGACTGACGGGCAGAGACTGAGTTACCTGGAGATGTTATAAAAATGTTTACCCAGCCGGCAACAGACCAGTTTAAATACGTAGCAATACTAGCATCACTCAAGTAAAGGAAAAAGGTACAGTGAAGTAACTACTCTTATAAGTATCTTATTTCCAAAAAAGTTACTTAAGTGTATGTAACCACTTTTGAACATAGACACGAGTAGCTTACACACTACTAACTAACAAGCTTACGGTACTGTACAGGTGTTAGCTAGTCATCTTTTAGCTAACATTAGCTGCATCCAGTAAACTCATTCGGTTAGTTTGGGTGAAAAATTATGCAAAGGTCTTTGCGTTTTATTGGTTTGCTGCTATGATTCAAACACACCTGAGCAGCTCTGTGCAGCAGCAGCAGGTGCTGCTACACCGCTAGCATCTTATTGCACATGTTGCGTTTGAAGGCGGCTCAGATAACCGGTTATGCCATGATAACGACGGATTAAACCGTC